TCTGTGCAATTTTTCAAAAAACGTTTGCTCACGATATAACCGGGTTTCTCCGACGTCCTCGCGACGCCCGCGGGCGTCCCTCTCGAGGATGCTTTTAGCCAGCAGAAGAAGCAAGTTATTTATTGTTGCTATCTCGTCCCACGAGCCGTTGGATTCAGTGGTACGAGAAGCTCTCAATCCTCCTCTTATTAAAACCTGCCCTCCCTATCAGAACTTATACCGTAGGTACGGCACTGGTACAGTCACCCATAGAATCTTCGGATCCGGAGCACAGGCGATCGGAACCAATAAATAACCAATCAATCAGCGACGCGAATCAACCACTCACAAATGACAGAATAATAAATCAATAAAATAAAAAGAAATCGAACAATATGAAGTCCCAATAAAATTCAGTTCGGTCCCATCCCCTGCCCCCCCACCCCCACCCCAAGATAAAGAAAAACCAGTCCCAGCATCTTCTTCATCTCACGTCCTTGACTTCTTGACGATACCCATCTTAAAGGACATTCGGTACGAGACCAGTTTCTTAAATGGTGTCAGAAGTGCGTTCGCTCATTCGAAAGGGTTAACTGCGCGCAAAGACTATACTGCAGCCATTACGCTAATGGGACGGCCAGCCAGGCTGGTCTCTATCAGTATCCGGGGAGGACGAGGGACGAGGAACCCGGTTGGGGAGGATGCCAGAAAGGTAAAGAGTGGAGGTTGGGAAAGAGAGAGAGAGAGAGAGAGAGAGCGAGGGGGGAATCGAGGAGCGGAAGAGGGAGAGGGCACGCATTACTCATAATCTCATGCGACTGAGATTGCTGTGAGCCATTAAGCATATACCGTAAGTGTGAGTGAGATGACGATATATATTATATATCTCGGACATATTTCAATTCTCTGAATTTTCACAGCTGTAACTCGAGAGAGGGTACTATCAGGAATCATTTGCAATGTTAATTCGGCGATTGTCCTTCTACGAAATTTATAAAGGTTCCTTAACGTTTTTCGTATTTCAGCCCCTTTCGATGCATGCGTAGGCACGTGGGCGATGGACACGTGGAAAGTGACAGTTTGACAGGTTGTTGTTGTGGTGAGTGAAGCTATGTTATTTTTATATGGTATACGAAGTACAGGGTTATATGGGACACAGGTACCAACTGAAGTTGTATGCGAATGAACGATTCCGTTAAGCGAAGCTGTGCGACCTCGTTAAACAAATGAAAAAGTTTATGATGTTAATATAACATTATGACGTTGACTTCAATTTTGTTACACGTCACATTACTGTGATTAATGGAACGACCCATTTGCGACCAACTTCAGGCGATGTGTTTTTCGTGAATAATCCTGTACATATAATATGACTTGATCGTCTGAAATATTTTGTTCTGTCTGACTGATAATCTTATCCAAAATTACGTTTGCTCAGATCGTTATCGTACGTATCGCTTTGATGGTTTAGAGAATTTTGTCGATCAGCCTTATCAGCTAAATAATGGTACAATTTGATTTCGTATCATGCTCTCGCGCACGTTTGCAGATCGATCGGTAGATCGAGCAGATAAAACAAATACGTATACCGTTGTTGACTCGATTGATATCAATCAATATAATTTTTCTTATCTATCGAAGTATCGATAAATTGAAAGATTCGTCATCGAACTTTACTAATAAATTGGCCATTATCCAAGAGGGTTACATAACTTTTTATCGATTGATTTTATCGATGAGATTACAATAACGAAAACTCTTAATCGTTGCTTGATATTTTTCGCAAAAATAATTATAAAGGTGTCTGTCTGCTTTCACAACGTAAAGCCGCCATAGGTATTCGCCCGCATATACAAAAAGTACCTTTAATCGTTTCTACCAATTAACCAAGCTAATTACCAATGGCACTTATTAGTATTAATTAGGCTGATACCAAATTAAGATTCCCTATCACTTATTGCCGCCTCTTATCGCACCAACTTATCAGGCGATCCTATTTGTCATCGACAAACCCACGTATGACACACTTTACGCAAAGCGTCCTCCGATTATTATCGCGTAGACTAAATTGCACAATGCCGAGTTTCCAAGTATCGACCAAAGCAGCAGGAATCAAGTAAAACAATTTTATTAGTCAATAACAAGTCAACGAGGCAAATACCGCCTGAATCTTGCAAAATGACGAATTTTCTTTTTGCAATAAATCGCAACGAGTAAAAATAAATTCTCCGTCCGCAACGAAGAGATATTGAGAAATCGATTCACAATCGATTAGAAATAAAAGATCGATCGGTCCACGACAAACCAGAGAGATCCAAGTATCCAGGATTGCCGCAATGCAATAACAGTCATCGGATCGAACGTTAAATTCCCACCTGTCAATGACTGACAGTTATGCCCACGTGTTATTATTTACACAATCTCCTACGGTCGCGGATCTAAGGCAGCCACGTTTACGTAAGAGCAACGTACTTTTCACCGTGCCCAACGTAATTTACCTCGATCCCACAATTTCAACCAATAACAGTCCCGTACCTATGCTTTCGAGTGCCGTCGGGCAGCTAATGTTGGCGGCCCGACTTTGCGCCAATGTAACTCAACTGGAAACACGCTATCGATAATTCCCGTCGCTCGGGACAAGTTTCCGATAAGCTTCCAGCAATAGTGGCAATTATCGTCCTTTCGCCATTCATTAATTGCATTAATCCACTTTAACCAGGAATCATTCTGATAGTTATTCGCACATGATACAAAAAATAGGCTACCGGAAGTCTAGGTCGACCTCATGGGTTTGACCGGGTGAAAAAGTTGATCAGACCATTCCAAAATCAAAAGCGCCCAATTCGATTAATCCTGATTCCACTGAAATGAGGGATGAAAAATTTTCAAAAACCGACGTGACTTTAACCCATTTTACCAATTCCTACATCCACTCGAGCTTACGGGTATACATGGAAAACTCGATTTCCAGTTATTAGCCATATGGACCAAGATAGAGATACAGATGATATCTAGAAAATCAGTCCTACTAACGTCGGATCAATTTTATACGGTAATCCTCGAATTTTCATAATACCCATTAGTTTTCGTGTCACGTCAAATAAATTATGGTTAAACATTATTATGTTTTTTTTTTATCACGACAATTAAACTCCCGAGCTCCATCTCACGATTAAAAGTCCCTATTAAAATCGTCCCTCGCGAATAAACTATTCATCCCCGACGCGACTCTCAAACCCCGCGCGTTTCGTTATTATTTATATGCAAATTGGATGTTAGAGAAAAATAAAAGGAACCAAACAGCCCCGTGGGCTGGTAGTTCTAAGAGGAAGCAGATTAACTGATCGTTCAGCATGGGATGCTGAGGAGGAAGGACCAAATAGGCCAGCCAAATAAAATCCAATTAAAAAGCAGGTCCACTAACGCTAAGAATTAATAGACAATCGGCAGTATATATATATATAAAACCATGAAAAACGATTAGTTAAACTTAATTAGTCAAGTCAAAATTCCTAATTAAACATTTAAATTAACATTGACCATAATCAAAGACATGTATGCCCGAAAATACGTTGCTTCAAAGTACCAAGACACGCACATCACTCGCAGTGTTTTATCATGATATCACCCAGCTCGCAACTCCATTCACGTAATTAAACACGATAAGGGCAATTAATCGTATCAGGTTTCACCAATTAATTATAAAATACACACAGTAGAAAAAAAAGCGTACACAAATTCTTATAATAATTTTATAAGTAAAAAAATGTGAATCGAGCCACTAGTATAGATACGATCGCATATCGATCGATAACGAGGTGTCACTATCTAGCCCGCTTGTTGTCCGCATCGAGGTAATCGATTATCGTTAAATAAATCGCGATACCTCGGATCAGGCATTCGCGGAGAGCAATAAAGCAACAGCGCGGCAATATTGCCCAAAGCGAACGACAATGGGAACAATAGATTAGAACATGGAACAAGGTGGAGCAACGTTCTCCAGCGGAACCAGGTAACGATAAATTACGGTTTCGCTGAGGTTGTTAAAACATTTGCCGGCGATAATGCGACAGTGTCGTAATTTTCGGGGGCACGGGAAAGGGGGCGCCGGTGGAAATGCCTTAAATTATTTACAAAAATCGAATTGGGCGGATCCGATCGGAAAAAAAAGACTCACCCCTATACGTCGACAGGATTACACTTGGCCCTCCCAGGCTACGTCGTTAAGGGTTAACTGATTGCTCGATCGGCGTCCAGAGCGTCCAGCTAACGTCGTTAGGGTATTCTCGTAATAACACAGTTGGTTCAATATTTACCCGCAAGCGGAAATGCCTCCGTAACGACGCGGCATTAGCGATAAACCCGCGTTCACAACCGAGCGACACTTGTCGATGATTTTTCGCGGCGGCGGGGTAAGAGAGCGAGTAAGGATACGTGAGGGACGGAGGATGCGTAGCAGGTTAGGTTTCGAGTGTTATTGCGATGCGCAAGAGGGACAGGAGGGGAATAATTGGCAGTGAGAAAGGGGAGAAGGAACGAGGATCGAGGACAAGGGTTAAGAAGCGAAAGGTATGGATGGAAGGAACGTGGAAAAAAGAAGTTGGCGAAAGAAACGATTACGTTAGGTTAACGTATGGGACTGCGAGACTATGGGCTTGTGAACTGTACGTCTGCGCGAGCAAAGTGTTCCTCGCGGCTGCGTGAACCGATGTGTTCGTTCAGTGGATGGTAGTCCGGCTACTCCCCCACTACTTCGGGAACCTCGTGAGCTAGTGGAACTTAGGAACGCCCACTGGCGCCTTCAACCACGCCCATTTAGTACGCGCCGACCAATCGCTAGTGGAGAACGTCGGTTTAGTCGAGCAATCAGCGTGGGGGACGAAGGAAATATGCTGCTGGCCACGCCCACTTGGTCTCAGTTGGGACTTATCTTTCTCTTTTGGGACTCAAAGGGGGGCCTTGTAAACGGAATATAAAATGTGTCCGTGTTAAAATGGCAACTTACGCAGTAGGACATTTCTTTCAAATTTTATTTCATTCTTATATGTTGGGTAGCGCGTTTGATGCCGTGTACACCTTGGTTTTATTGTTTTTAGGTAATTTTAAGTAATTTAACGTGCAATTCTGTTATCTTGATCTTTAAAGAGGACGTTGGCCTTATCCGCATTGTTTCCTTGATTTTCTTCGGAGTGCCACTCTTTTGATGCCCGTGGCAGATCATCATCGCCTTCTCTCGTGCGATGGTTCATTAGCAACGCCGTGAAACGTGGCATCACGATGTTAAACTGATTTATATCAGAAAATCCTGTTAAGGGGCCAATCCGTTCCCGGAATTCGTGCCGCGATACTCTTCTTTCTTCATCTTGTCCCGCGATGTCGTTCAACTTCTCCATCGTAGCGCACAAGGTCATCTCTTCGCTGATTCGAAACACCTGTTTCTTTTCGAGAATATCAAATTTATTAAACATATACAGTAATACTGACCATACACTCGATCGATACAGTGCATCCACTGCAAAAGTCAATGATCGATATTAAAAAGTACACAAAACAGATTTGGATGCTGAGTTACAAAGATGGACCAGTGACAATAATTTCTATGTGAAAAAATATATATAACAGGAACAAGATATAAAAAGAGATAGAGAATAAAATTTTCAACCCTTCGTTAACTTTAATCGGCTTCCACTTTTATACGTGTAATACCAATTTGATCTAATGATAACCATATGGCACCAGTGTATAAATAATATTGCCAATACTTTGCGCAAGACTCGACCCAATCTCGATTAATAAACAGCGATTACGTAAGGTACGTATAAAAATAAAAAACCATAATTGATAACCCATAAAATGATATTGGTCCATTAAGAGGCTTCAGTTAAATCTTTAAAGGGAACCACCCTCCGTATGGATCCATTCTGGTACCTGTTCCATTTCGCACCCCGTTACGCAACTATATACTCCAAGGTTCACTAAGTTTCGGCAGAATCATTTGGCCTCCATTGTGAACTCGTTTTCACGGCGTTGTTCTTGTTCTCGTGAGGAATGGGCTGTGGAACGGGGCCTGAAAGGAAACGATTGCGTCACGATGATGTCATTAGCGTGCGCCACGCCCCCTACGGCGCTACCCCATTACGCCGAATCATCCACCCGATGACTCTTCTACTTGGGATCCCAACACAGCATCCTAACAGATCCAACAGATCCTTCCTGCGGATCCATGGATCCATCTCGCGTGACGCAGAAGCAGGTGCTACTACTTATTTCGGAAACAATGTAATTTATACCGGGACCACTGACGTCATTATAGATATTTTCTAACAGCACTGTATACGTATAGCTTATGGCTTAGCCAATTATCGTGTAACAACTTTGGTCGGTGACTATATTGATTTTTAATCAATTTAATAAAAAAAAATTCATTTTCTAAATCATTATCGTGTCCATTGTTCTGTAGCGTAGACGGGGTTGTCACTTATATTTAGCAATTTTTTATTATCATGTTTACTAACCGGAATGAAAATCGTAAATAGATCCCAAGGAGCAAAGCATTTTACGCTACCGTGAATCAAAAAGAAAATAAACCAAGAGAAATGAGTATCGTCGATCAGATCGGACCATTGATAGGATCTCGGTAACACTCATTAAGGCGGCCATTGTGCGGTGGCAACAGCCGTTTGATTGGTCAATCTACGCCTTAGATATACCGATGGATGACGAAAAGGAAAGAGAATATTGTGAGCGAAGAAAAAAAAAAAGAAAATGAGACGTAATAAAAGAAGAAAAAAAAAGAAAAAAGACAGGATACACAACATTTCTCTACCGCCCGCATTTTACCTGGTGTCTATATGCTGTGTATGTACAACCTCGAGGAGAGGCGCTGTTAACCTATGTGAATTAGACAAGGCACACGTCCGGTTGGACTAAGTGCATATCCTGGATTTCTTACAGCGAGCACAGCGGAAGTGCTCAGGACTACAACTTCCTATTTGATACGGTTGACGAAAATTAATGCATTTCCTTTATGCTACAATCATATGTATGTTCTGTGCGAATAAACTTTGAGTCGATGGTAAATGAGGAAAACATTATTTCAAATTGCCCGCGCGATATAATTTTCAACTAGCGCGCATGCGCACAACGGACCACGTAGTAGATGCGTATCTTACACAGGAAATGCTTTGACCACAACCAACTGATATTATGTAGAACGTTTACCGAATATTATACTCTACGAAACTTATGGCTGCATGTAATATGCATATACGAACTGAGAATTAAGAAACGGCGCTCAGAATATCTCATACCTTCAGTGCATTTTGCGCAGATGCAGGCACAGCCATTCCGTAATCTTGAGCTGCGGTTTCTCAGAGCGATCCTTCCTTTCTTTCTATACATATACCACGCCATTTCGCTCTTGTTGGTTTAGCAAGATTATCGATAATTTGACAATCGACTGTGCGGCTTCACGAACCGTGCGCCATTACCGCCATTAACTACGTCCTCCCTCTGCCGTTCGTACGCGAGCTTGGTTAACTTTTTATCTGCCATCTTCACTCGGCCGTGCGAACTAAATGACGACTAACGTCAAAGCCAAGTTCCTCATACAGAGTCCAAGATATTGTTTGATTCTTTAACTGGCATTAGGATATTATTTTATTTATTTACTAAGGATATCTATTTTATTTTATTTTTTATTTTATTATTTTTTTCCTAAAAGATTGTCATTTTTATTACAGTTTTAACTCGTCACTGATTATCGTAGTTAAGCACTCGTCGCCGGCTAAAGCAGTGCTGACGTTTCGCAGTCGGTTTCTTCGAGAAACCGCAATCCACTTCCTTCGATACCTTTTTAATAGAAATTCTCACTCTGTTCGTTTGAACGAATTTCTTTTCTTTAATATTCCACCTCGGTTTTCTTTACACGTTGCATTTCGTGTCGCAGGAGTATTCTAACCGCGAAATAACAGTGTTGTCATAACGAGGAGTGCTGCAGTCAAAACACACGGATTATACAAAAGTGTTCGATGAGTTAAACACAGGAAAATAAATGTGCTCATCTCGTTAAAAAACGTTCTCTTAGAAAATTATTGGTTGTTTTCGCGTACGCCCACAGTATCTATAGACATGTATTCCTGTGCATTTTATCAGGGCTACCAATTTTGCTGGACGACATTTCCTGCTGTTCTGTTTCTTTGCAAGTACATTGAAATAGATGCTCGGACATATGATATGCGGTGCATACGGACATAGCGAATATAGTCTAGTGTTTGTGAAAGTTTCAAGATATCAAGTATGTACATACACTGCCTGAGTATGCAGACCCTTACTTTACTTTCTCGCACTGACAAAATACCATCGGCTCTCATCGTAAAAAGTTAAGCTACTTTTTAATGAGAAACATGACAGATATCGTCACGGCATAATTGTCCCATGTCGTTTCATAAAGAGTCAAGGGCCGACAATTTGTAAGGCGAAAGCTATTTATATACATATATACAATATATACGCACACAGATCTCTCACTACGCACTACTTTCCTCCCACAAGTGTACAAGGTGTATCAACCTAACCTATAAACTCCATGATTGATCATACCTGGCCACATCCTACTCTGAAGATGAACGGAGAATCAATTACCTGAGCTAAGAGGCTAAAAGCTAAACAAACCAACCGTGATAACATCTCATCTCATCTTACCACCAGTAAGTCTTCGAAACTCTACGGGTCCAGAATTACCACCCAGAACAGTTCGATTTTACGTCATCACCAATCGGTCCGATTCGATTACCTCGAACGCATAGAATCATTATTGTTTTTTAATATCAATTCCAGGTTAAATAAGTGCACAATGAATTGATGGTATTGAGCAAGACGTAGATTCATTCGAATTTCTTTTTTTTATGTTCACCGTGAAGGTTTTCTTTTTTCTTGTTTAATTTACCTACGACGCGAATCGGCGTCGCGCGACGGAAGTCAAACTTAACCGAGGGAATTGGAGAGTGATGGAAGGTATGAGAAAACAAATGTCGAAAAGAACTTTGAAAAAAAAACACCATTTGTCAAGTCTCGTTATTCTGCTCGATTGAACAGAACAAGCAATGGGAAATGGTTGCGCGTGATTTGTCCTTCGCGCAACGTAAATTTCACTTACTATTCGCGAATTCGACGCGGTCCAGATTCAACGAGAATTTTCCTTTAATTTTGTTGGGAACCATTCGAGTGTGGAGGAGGGATGGAATTGCCACATGTATCCCGTGAATTTAGTTTTGGACAACTAGAATTATAGGTTTTGTAATTTTTTTATAAATAATATTAAACATACAAAAATCTTATGTTCCAGGCCACCCAAGAAATTCGGCTAAAGTCTAACGTTTCTTAATGATACGTGTGAAACAAGGGAATCAAATAGAAAAAAATAGTATACTGAGAATCTTTGGATACTTCTTCCAGGAAATTTCAGTCCTGTGGTTTTTAGACGGCAGGAAATGATCCAGAAACAGGTTTTTTTATTTTTCTTCTTTCTCCCTTGCGGTTTCCGCGATCCTTCCAGATCGCAACTTCACTCTAATAGATCTCTAGGTGGTACAGTGGTTCATAATGCAAGATTATAAGTGGCGGATGAATTATATTGTCACTGCAGCCGGAGAGACATTTTCTCGACGACTTCTCAACACGCTGGATTTCTTACTGCTGTTTTTAAGAATGAAAAAAAAGAGGATAGAATTATTTCAAGCCTAATTTGGGAGCGGTTTCTATTTACTGGAATGACAGGAGACAGTTTTTCCCACTCGACGCAGGTGGCAACGGCCACCTAAGATATTAGGACCAACTAGAGAGTAAACAGCGGCCGACCTGTAATTTTCAAAATTTCCCGCCAGCCTCCAGGTCGTAGGAGCTCGTATATTCACACGAGACGTCTCCACGTATCCTGCTAAGAGTTCCGGATCACTTTGTGAACTAATGTCTATATAATGAGGTTGCGTGAAGATCCGTGAAAAATTACGTGGCGCCTAGAAAAAGTTTTCCTTTTTCAAAAAGGAGGCAAAATTATCTGCGGAGAAAAGGTCAATTTGATAGTCTACCAAAAATCCGCCAACCTCACAGAAGCTTGGATCTTTTGTTTTTTTTTTCCCCTCCAAAAATCTTTAAAGACCCAAACAAGGAACTTTAAAGCACACAGCATCCCCCAAGGACCAGCCTTGGCGCCTATTCACCCCCGCGGTGGCGCTTGCCCATTTAATTTGTGAGTTCAAACAAACCCGATGATAAATTTCGAAAATATTCATTAGCCGATGCATTCATCAGCATTAATGCACAGAGCATGGGATCCCATAGGGGTGCCTGAATTAGTTAGAAATTTCGACGGACAAAAACAATTAGGCGGCAGGTGGCAAAAAAAACACAAGCCGCCCCGTGACGTTATAGCGCATATCCATAAGTGACTTTAACGAAACGAAAGAACCCTATGGATTCCCCGGGGTGTTTCCCATGGTGTCTGTTTACACGTTTAAAAATATCTTTCCTAGCACCTTCCATACCCAATCCGCCATAGCTCACACTTTCTCACTTTCCATATCCCACAATAATTCATCAAAGCGTACCAAAATTTATTTCCTAGTACCATCTTGACAAAAATATTTTCAATATCCATAAAACACTAGAAATTCACTATTCTCTAGTGGCAAAAAAAAAACTATTTCCTGGTACCAACTTGACAAAAATATTTTCAATATCTATAAAACACTACGAACTCACAAAAACAATATCACTAACCGGTAACAATGCTCTAAAACAAACATTCACCTTTACCCGTCAACCAGTAATACCCAACCTTGGCTGTGCCCTCCGTTGAAAACGGGGCCTTACAAACAGTATAGGTAATGATGAGGCAGAATCGATGGCGTCAGTCCAACTCCTACCAATTTCACGGCAAGTTACTCGCCAGCGCTGTGAAACAATGAAGGCCCACCCTATATAATACATATTACGCGGCCCAGCTCATTACCTCTCGCCATCCACGCCTATTTGTATTTTAATAAGTTCATTTGGTGAGCCTTATTTTTTTTTTTTTTTTTTTTTTTTTTTTTT